GCTCGATCATTACAAATTAGTATTTATAAAGTTAAATACACGTTTGATTCGATTTATACCTTTAGTATTTTTAATCATTTGTAGTTTAAAGGAAAATATTTTCCACATTTATTTTTAACTATAAAAATACCACCCTAGTTTTACTAACTAACCCCATAATAGTTGTTTTACTTGGAAAATCTTGCTACGATAAATGCAAGTTAAAAAAGAAACTTTCAAAAGTGTTAGTTAATCATGCAGAAACATCATATATATAGCAGATAACGCAAACTCATGCACTTTCTAGTTTCTATTATCTCTATACTCACCTCATCTTTCTCTCTGAGAAGATGAACCCAACGAACCACCCTCCGACGCCGCCTTCGAACCCCCGCGTAACAAACCAACGCCACCAGCACCGCCGCCGCAGCTCCGGTCACGTGCGTAAATGACCAAAACGCCCCCATCCGCATTGCCCAATCACTAACGCGCTCTCTCACACCCTCCAACCGCAGCTTCAACACCTTCCTCCATTCGTTCACCACCCGTACCCGCCAATCTGACGGCGGCGCCGCCGCCACGCCCCCGTCGCCGCTCACCGAACTCGAAGCTCCGTCTTCGGGGTCCGTTGTTTTCGTTGGAACGAGTTGTGGTAATGAGAGTTCGTGGTGGTGGTGGGTGGGGCTTGGAGGGTCGTCGTCGCTGGAAGAAGCTTTGTCTCCAACTTCGACGTAGTTTTCGTTTATCACAACCATGTTCCACCCAGAGGCTTCGAGAGGTTGGTGGGGTTTTTCGATTTGTTCCCACTCGTCAATGTCTTCTGTGTGTTCCATGCTCGGAGTTTTTGCGTAGTACTAAGATCGATGTTATGTTACTCAGAGTTTCTGCATGTCTCAGTCTCACATGATAAATATCTATATGGAAAAGGAAAAGTGGAAAATATCTTTGGTTCCATGTTTTGTTGTTTTTGTATTATTGGGGTGCATGCTTTGTGACGAATAAATAAACTGGTGCCTTATGTTTAGTGGATATGGTGGGCCAGGGCTTTATCAGCTTCATCTGGAACTATCTTCCAATTATATATAGTACAAAACCCGCTTGTACGTTAATTCTACGGTGTAATTTGTTGGTAAATTCGAAAATGCTGTTTTGTTGGACAGAAATTTTGACTTTCGAGGTGTTTGTTGGTTAAGATGGAGAAGGAAAAAGGAAGTGGTAAGTAAACGAGAGGAGTAGGGTTGAGTATTCACTTTTTTTAATGTTTGAAACAATTTAGAGTCTGAAGAAGAATCTGGATGGAACATGAGAGGAGCAGCTGAGGAGCAGTATCGCCTTCAGTGGTCAATTGAGTGTGCTTACTTGTTGGGAAGAGTCACTAGGATAGCACTCTAACGAGAAATTAACATGTAGACATGTTTGGATAAGCTTTTTTTAAAATAAATAAAATAAAAAAATTTATATCAAAATAAGTTTTTTCATATTTTAAAAGTATTTTATAGATGAGTTAAAAATAATATTTTGGAGAAGCTAAATAAGTAAGACTTTATATAAGTTAACTTATAATAAGTTACTTTCAGTTTATCAATTCAAAATTTTTAATCATAAGCAAAGTGTCATGAATAAAAGATTTTTTTAATTTCTATAAATAAGAGGTTTTGTGATGAGATTAATTATCACCCATTGTGAGAGGGAGAGAGAGGTCAACAGAGAGGGGGGTGGGGGGGAGTGTAGGGGAGGGCTCACCATCCTATGAGAGGGGGAATTTTGTAATGAGAAGGATTTCTTAAGTTTGTTCATAAAAAAATTGTAATATAATTTGAAAGAATGAATATTTGTTGAGATGTTTTTGTAAATATAAATAAGTGTTAAACTTGTATCTTTGCTATTTTATATTTGTGTTGTATTTGCACGTGTCTATATATTTGATTTTCTGTGTGTAAAGGAAAAATTTTCCCAACAATATGAGTTTCTTAAACTAATTTAAATAGCTACAAAAAAAATGTTTGGAGCAACTCATAAGTGTTTCCACTAACCTGCTTTTTTATTATAACTTTAGTTGAATTATCAATAAAGTTTACACTTCAAAGTCACTCGTAAAAAAGATAAATAACATTACTGATAGAATATGATGTAGCTACAGGAAAAGTTTTGTGCCCCGGAGACATCACTTGTGGGAAGGGCCAAACCGTATTATTTAGTGCCCAAATAAATTAATTTCGTACCCAAAGTGTGGAGATACCTTGAGAAACCAACAAGAAAAAGTAAATTTCATTAAGTTTAATATATAGTAATCCCTATGAATAGGCAAATCTTCGGAATTCTTGATTCTTTCTACCAGCCAGAATTTCATTAAGTTGAATATATAGTAATCCCCATTTAGTTTGAATTAAATTTTAACATATCAAAGCCTTTACGAAAGTTCATAGAAAATCCTTCCCAACCTTATTCTTCAGCTGTCTCTGAAATTAGTGCCTAATGCCTACCAAATGCCTTTTCTCCATTTCACTTAAAGTTGCATTTTGATATGTTGGGTCGGTGATTCAATAATATTTTGCTGAAGTTAAGGATAAATATGACGAAGTTAGATTTTGTAGAAATTTTGATGAAGAAAATATGTATGATACATCAAAAGGCCAATCCAATAACATTCAGTAGAAGAATGAAGGTAACTTTTCAGTTTTTCTCACGTCTTGGCATGCTCTATGGTTCACGTCACGCCTTCACGGTGTTGGAATATACATATTAATAAAGGTGTATACATTGGGTTGGTTGTGTGATGATACGAGAGATAGATAACATAGATTTGACTAAGCAGTTGGAGTCAGGTTCAATCAAAGATAAGTAGTATGATAATCTTGATTACTTGGTAATATTTTCCTGTATTAACAAAGTATGATACCTTCATTTTAGGCGAAGATCAGTTTCTTTAGAATGACTCTGTTATCTCATATAATCATATCTGACAATGTTAATGCCATTTTATCCAAGAGAATGAGACTCACTGATGCACTGCCTTACTGTTTTATGCAGTTTATAAATGTATATGCACCAAAGCATGAAACAGAAACTGCAGGGAAATTTTGGCTTAATCACATCCCATTTCTGTTCCGCAATGGGTCCTTGGCTACACTCTTTTAGAGTTTTCTGTAATTGGGTTCTTGTAATGTAACACTTAGAGAACATTGATTTTTTTATCGGATATATTTCTCTTGGAATTACAAGAACATGCAGTAAAACTGATTAAACTATAAACGGTCTAGCTTATACTGGATGCCTATTGTTGGAATTACAATTACATTACAACTAATAAAACAGTCTAGCACGTTACATGAAAGAAAAGCATAACAGTGCTGTAAACAATAACTTTCCACAAAAAGTGAAACCAGTGACTTCAGTCTTGAATTTCTTTCAGGGCATTATAAAGATAGTTTGTTGTTCATCCTTTTTGTCACTATCACTGGAAAACTAAATCTCAAGGAAAATGAAATATTGAAGCTGATATTGTACTACTAAGTTTCCCCATCGAATAGGTCAGGAAGTGGGAATGCTGCGGGTCCGTTCTTGAACATACGGTCCTGTTTGACTTGATTAATCTTTTCATGGTCATCTTTTGTGAGTGACCAGTCAAATATCTCTATATTTTGCTTTAATCTATCTTTATTGTAGCTCTTCGGTATGAAAGTCACACCTTGTTCAAATAACCATCTAAGACATACCTATAACATGACAAAGAATGGATTGTTTGTATTAGCATCCGAGTAGCATTCATAATAAGCTTAATACATTGACAATTATGAGGTTTTAATTCCTGATTTGGGATGTATTTGGAAGAAACTATTTTCACCTTATTTGAACTTGTGACATAAAAACTTGTGTAGTATTTAAAAGAGCTTACGAACATACCTTATAATCTGTCCTTCAATTGTTTTTAGCTTATTTTAATAAACTATCCAAGATAACTTATGAAAACAGTTTCATTTTATTCTTTCCTTGTTCAAAGAAACAACTTATAAATAAACACTTATTCAATAAGTGTTTAATTAAGCTATGCACTGATAATGTGAATACAATAATCTAATCACAAACTATCATTGATGGTGAATTGTTGACTTTAATGACTTTATTGATTGACATTGTACATGTTTTTAATCTAACAGTACATGACCATTAAACTTACTAAATTGAATGTGATACTTGTCAAAAATTTATTATTAACTCCACAGTCGGTGACTCAAATTTACTAGTGTAATTGTCATTTAGCTTTAAAAGCAAAGTGTAAATAAAAGCTGAAAATTGGTAACCTGAGCAGCAGTTTTGCCATGAGCCTGTGCAATCTGTTTGGTCAATTCATGGTCCAAAACTCGATTGATATCCCATTTGGTCCCTTTGGCTCCCAAAGGAGAGTAGGCAGTTACCGTTATACCCTTTGCCTTGCAGTATTCTCTAAGATTCTTTTGCTGCCAGGCAATATTCATCTCCACCTGTTTGGGGTGGGAAAAAAAAAAGATGTGTGAAATAAGCAAAATGTGCAAGATAGATGATGGACTTAGAACATGTTTGGATTCACATCAACTTTGGTTGGATGTGGATTAACGGAAGTAAGAATTAGTTGCTTTACATCAATTTTGATGTGATTCTCACTCAAACGTGAATCGTAAATGTGGAACTAAACATGCACTTACTTGATTGACCGAAGGAGGAATTGTAGCAAAAGAGAGTAGATTTTCTAGCTTCTTGGGGGAGAAGTTGCTGACTCCAATTGATTTCGTAAGGCCCAGTTTGTGACACTCTTCCATTGCTGCCCACACACCCTTTAAGTCAAAGGGCACAAGGCACTCTTCAGAATAAGGGATATCCCACTTCTTCGCACTCAAAGGCCAATGGATTAAATAAAGGTCCAAATAATCTAATTTAAGAGACCTGCGTCCATTTAGGTTCGGAAAAAATTTAGACAATGTTATTTTTAAGTGTTTTTTGTATTGTACTCTAATCAAAAGTGGACTTTAACTTTAGAAACCAATTGTAATACAGATCAAGTGTAACTACAAGAACAAAGTCAAACGCATTCAAGTAAGTTTTGTCCTAAAATAAGGACTATATGAAGTAGTAAATGAGCGTGATAGGTGGATACATGATTACTAAGTGGTATTAGATCAAATAGTTCCTAACTAGTCTCAACATAACATGCAATAAAGTATTATTAAAGTTTTCTTGTGGATTATAAAATTTAAATACATATTATATAGTGATTGATAGCATCATAAACATTTGTTAGTCCTAAATTACTTAATAATTTTTTCATGATCACAAATTTTTCCATAGATATTATGATAAAATAGTTGAACACTTTCCATTAATCAAATGATTAGCAAAAAGGGAAAAAAAATCATATTATCAAAAATAATTACTGTGTCTCTGAACTCTAAATCATATAAGTTAGTATGGTGATAGCGAACTTTTTCCACAGTAAATTAATCTAAACTTATAACTGGGAGATGTCAAACAAACAAAAACAAAGTAAACTTTTACTTACTGAAGTGACTTTTGTAGTGCAGGAAGAACGAGATGGGGATGATTATCGGAGCACCAGAGCTTGGAAGTGATGAAAAGGTCCTTTCTGGAGCTGATGAGACCAAGTTGAAGCGCTTGGGCAATGGCTTCTCCGAGAGCACACTCGGACCCATATTGTGCTGCTGTGTCGAAGTGTCTGTAACCGAGCTTTATAGCTTCTACTGTTAGGTCCAGAGTAGGTTTAATAGTTACTCACAGCTAAAACAAGAGATGAGTAAAAAGAGACAAGGGAGAAAATAACCACAGTAAAAATATTATTTACTGAAAGGGAGGAAATTACAACACTTCTCTCTCTATAACTTACTCCTTTGAATTAGGAGACTACTACTACCGAGAACAGATCTCAAGGTGTATAAGAGAGGAAGAGAGAAGAGAAGAAGATTTGGGATGAAAATTATGATTTTCAGCTTCCCTATTTATAGGAAAGTCCCAATGGCATTTTCGTAATTTCTCCTAAACTTTTAATATTATTTTATTATTATGTGGGACCCGCTTCTAATATAAAATTAGAAAACCACCGAAAGGTGGTGGCAGCTGTACGCAGCTGTACATTTCTCCCACTTGAAGATTATGATTAAGTTAATCATATCTTCACACCATTTCTTCTTTATTGATACTTCATGTTGCTTATGTTTCCAATAGGCCAAATAAGGATCGACACCATGTAAACTTGTCAGTGTTGACAGGCTTTGTCATTACGTCTGCTATGTTGTCTTTTGTATGGATCTTCTGCATATCCACTTTTCCTTCTTCTACTACTTCACGAACAAAGTGATATTGAATTCCTATGTGCTTTGTCCTGGAATGAAAGGCTGGATTCCTTGCAATGTGCAAGGCACTCTGACTGTCACAATACACAGTAATTTTCTCCTGCTTGTGCCCGAGTTCTTCCAGTAACCTTTGAATCCAAATTGCTTCCTTGCATGCTTGCGTAGCTGCCATGTATTCAGCTTCTGTAGTAGATAGAGCTACAACAGTCTGTAACTTAGACAACCAGCTCACTGCTCCTCCAGCAAGTGTAAACACATAACCAGTAGTAGATTTTCTTTTATCCAGATCTCCTGCAAAATCTGAATCAACATAGCCTCTGACAAAAAACTCCGATCCTTCAAAACATAATGCAACATCTGAGGTTCCTTTGATATATCTAAGGATCCTCTTTACAATACTCCAATGCTCTCTACCAGGATCTGCCATAAACCTACTGACCGCTCCCACTGCTTGTGCAATGTCTGGTCTCGTACAAATCATGGCATACATAAGGCTTCCCACCGCTGATGCATACGGCACTCGAGACATTTCCATCCTCTCTGCTTCGTTGCTAGGACTCATACTTGAGGATAATTTGTAATTGACAGGAAGTGGGGTCGAAATTGGCTTACAGTCTTGCATGTTGAAGCGCCGCAAGACTTTCAGTAAATAATTCCTCTGAGAAAGCCAAATCTTCCTATCCTTTTTATCTCGGTGAATTTGCATCCCTAAAATCTTGTTTGCCGGTCCCAAGTCCTTCATATCAAACTCCCTAGCCAATTGTGCCTTCAATTCTTGGATCTGATCTTTGTTGGGGCCTACCACCAACATGTCATCCACATACAACAGCAAGATGATGAAATCATTGTCATCAAACCTATTGTAGTACGTACAATGGTCTGAACTCAGTCTGTTGTAACCAAGGCTAATAATGAAGGAATCAAATCTCTTATACCAACACCTTGGCGCCTGCTTTAAACCGTACAGAGATTTGGTCAACCTACAAACCAAGTTTTCTTTTCCTTGTTCTTTAAAGCCTTCTGGTTGGAGCATATATATTTCTTCTTGGAGTTCCCCATGAAGAAAAGCAGTCTTTACATCAAGTTGCTCAAGATGTAAATTAAATGCAGCACACATAGCCAGAACAACTCTGATTGTGGTTAATCGGACAACTGGCGAGAATATCTCGTTAAAATCAATGCCCTCTTTCTGAGCATATCCCTTAACCACCAATCTTGCACGATATCTCTCCACTTGATCATTGCCATCACGTTTGATCTTATAGACCCATTTGCAACCAATGGCTTTTCGACCTTTTGGAAGATCAACAAGTTCCCATGTTTTATTTCTATGTAAGGCCTCTATTTCTTCATGCATTGCTGCCATCCACTGAGAAACATCAGAACTCCTCAACGCCTCTTGAAAGGTTGATGGTTCTCCTTCTTCAGTTAAGAGACAGTACGCATCATGACTTGCCATAACATAGTCTGAATGCCAAGATGGTCTCCTTCTCTCACGTCTTATTTGTTGAACTTCTTCATCATTGGCTTCATCTGGTTCTTGTTCCTCATGCTCTTGTTCTGCTTCAGAGGTGTCATCCTTTTTAGACTTTCCTCCTATCTCCACTATACTAGTGTCTTTGATAGTGCTGTCATTCTCCTGCTCCTTTTGCAGTTCAGTTTCTGCAAAGACTACATCCCTGCTAACAACAACCTTGCGGGCAGTGGGATCCCACAAGCGATACCCCTTAACATTGTCAGCATAACCCAAGAATATACATTTCCTGGATTTTGGGTCCAGCTTTGTTCTTTCTTGGGAGTTGTACATCACGTACACAGGACATCCAAACACATGTAATGAAGAATAATTAGATGGTTTTCCACTCCACATCTCCATTGGTGTCTTTAAACCAATTGCTGTTGATGGTGAGCGATTGATCAAATAACAAGCAGTTTTGACTGCTTCTGCCCAGAAAGACTTGGCTAATCCTGCAGTTCTCAACATAGCTCTTGTCCTTTCTAGGAGAGTTCGATTCATCCGCTCTGCTACCCCATTCTGCTGAGGTGTATGAGCAACTGTAAATTGCCTCTTGATACCCTCTTGCTTGCAGAATGCCAGAAAATCACCATCTATATATTCTCCTCCATTATCTGTCCTCAAGCACTTAATCCTTTTTCCAGTATCAAGTTCCACCTGTGCTTTAAATTCCTTGAATACTGGGAACACATCTGACTTCTTCTTGATTGGGTACACCCACAATCTCCGGGAATAATCATCAATAAATGATACAAAATATTTTGCTCCTCCCATGGAAATTTCTGGTGATTCCCAGACATCAGAATGGATCAAGTCAAGTATGTGTTTGCTCCTTGTAGTTACTTTGGCAAATTGTAATCTATGTTGCTTGCTTGTCACACAGTGCTCACAAAATGGTAAGGTTACCATTTTAAGCCCTGACAAGAGATTACGTTCCGCAAGAATTTTCAGGCCTCGCTCTGACATATGTCCTAGTCTACGATGCCACATCATCGTTGCCTCTTCTTGACTTATTGCTGCAACTGATGCATCTGCTTCTTGCAACGTTTCTCCCAAAAGCAAGTATAGATTTGATGTGATCTTCTCAGCTTTCATCACCACCAAATTGCCTTTAACTACCTTCAAGATTCCACCTTCAACGTGGATCTTGCACTTGAGATCATCTAGTTGCCCAATGGACAATAGATTCTTTTTCAAGCCCTTCACATGTCGTACCCCTTGAATTGTACGAATAGTACCATCATACATTTTTAATTTGATAGTACCAACTCCAGCAATTTCCAAAGCATGATCATTTCCCATAAATACGGATCCTCCTGAGATTGATTCATAAGTGCAAAACCAATCTCTATTTGGAGTCATGTGCCAGGTTGCACCTGAATCCAATATCCAACATTCATGGAGTTGTTTTTCGCCTCTGGAACTTATTGCTTCACTGTACAAGATTTCTCCATCTTCTTGGGTACTAGCAACACAACCTTGAGAGGTTGACGCTTCAGAATTCTTCCCTCCTCCACTCTTCTTGTGCCAACAATCTTTCTTCATGTGCCCTCTCATGCCACAATTATAGCATTTGAGGTTCTTCCTTCCTCGAGATTTTGATCTACCATGATTTTGACTCCCACTGGAGCCACGTTCCATTGATCTTCCTCTCATCATCGTCAAAGCTTCTGCTTGCTTTGAACTTTCCAGTCTGTCTTCCTTATTCTTTCGCCTGGACTCTTCTTCAAGAATAGCTCCGGCAACATCCTCAAAGGATAGACGACCAACAACATTATTGTTTGTTATGTTGATGATGAGTTGATCATATGAATCTGGTAAACTCTGAAGTAGAAGCTCCGCACGTTCATTTTCCACTATGTTGAAATCAGCTGTTGAAAGCTGAGCAAATAGCGTATTCAGATTGTTGATGTGGTCCGTCACTGCTGTGGACTCACTCATTCGAAGAGTGTAGAGTTTCCTCTTTAAGAATATTCTGGTGTGAAGTGACTTGACCTCGTATAATTTTACGAGCGTGTCCCAAATCTCCTTTGCAGTTGTCTTCTCTGCTATGCTCGACAAAACTGAATCAGCCATTGCTAAGTGCAAATTGGCAACAGCATTGTCATCCATTTCTCTCCACTTTTCATCAGTAATATCTGATGGCCTGCCTTCAATTGCTTTAAGACAGTTGTCTTTTCTCAAAATTGCTCTTATCTTCAATTTCCACAGGGAAAAATTGTTCCCGTTGAACTTCTCTATCTCAAACTTTGCTGCCATAATTTCTTCTATTAAACCGACTTAAGTAACTTCCACTAGAATAGTACCGCCTACTGGAACAATGATAAAATCCAGTAACAAGAATAATTCTTTTCTGATGTGACTGATCAGACAATACTGCAGCCACAGAGCATACTAAGAAATTTTCTCCGATACTATACCAATGTACACCACAGCGGAATAATAAACAACCTAGTGGCTCTGATACCACTGTTAGGTCCAGAGTAGGTTTAATAGTTACTCACAGCTAAAACAAGAGATGAGTAAAAAGAGACAAGGGAGAAAATAACCACAGTAAAAATATTATTTACTGAAAGGGAGGAAATTACAACACTTCTCTCTCTATAACTTACTCCTTTGAATTAGGAGACTACTACTACCGAGAACAGATCTCAAGGTGTATAAGAGAGGAAGAGAGAAGAGAAGAAGATTTGGGATGAAAATTATGATTTTCAGCTTCCCTATTTATAGGAAAGTCCCAATGGCATTTTCGTAATTTCTCCTAAACTTTTAATATTATTTTATTATTATGTGGGACCCGCTTCTAATATAAAATTAGAAAACCACCGAAAGGTGGTGGCAGCTGTACGCAGCTGTACATCTACCACTGCGGCTTCTACCGCATCGCCATCGTTGCGCTCCGCAGCAGTTCCCAGCCCTATCACTGGCATGCTAACTGGGTTCGATTTGGAGGATGGTTGTCGTAACACCACCTTCGGAACATTTGTTGTAGACATGATTCTACGGCTCAAAGCTTACGTTTGGGTTGAAAACAACTTGTTCAGATTCACTTCGTCAATTCCTCTCCATTCGTCTACTGCGATGGAGATTGTTGAAGGATCAAAATCTTCTGTCTCCGATCCCTGACTTCAATTCATGTCCCTCTAGTCACAAAATGCCATCTCAACCACATTATTACTTTTAATTTTAATTTTAATTTTTAAAAAGTGGAACCCATCATCCGTTACAGAACCTCCGTTACAGTTTTTCTTTTTTATTCTCCTAAC